GCAGTCTCAATCCGCAATTGACGCTGGACCGGGTCATCATCCAAAACTCAATCGGTTATGGCCTGCTGGCATTCAGCGCGCACGTGGAAATTAAGAACTCGCTGATCCATACCTGCGGTGCGCAGGCAATGGCCCTCGTGCGCGGCGGGACCTATAATGTAGATAACAGCACCATTGTAAACTATGGCACGAATAAGGTTAGCCATGCGGAATATTCTGCGGCTATCCTGCTTAATTATTTTAAGAATGGAGATGTGCTGGAAGCTTATCCTTTGACGGCAACGCTGAAAAACTGTATTATTTACGGATCATTGCAGCAGGAGCTGGTGGTAGATAGTATTGATGCTGCCGGCTGTAACGTTAACCTGGTCCATTGCGCTATAAAAGCTGATCCGGCAAAAACGCGCAGCTGGGTAGTGCAAACCAACGTACTGTACAACCCGGATCCTATGTTTGAAAAAGTGGAATCCGAGAAATGGGATTTTCGCCTGAAAGACGGTTCCCCTTTAATTGATAAAGGATCTCCAAACCCCACGTTGATAACTGATCTTGATGGTAAGCCGCGCACGGTAAACATCATTGATATCGGGGCTTACGAACATCAATAGGCCAGCATTTAGGCCTGCTTGTTAAATAGGCCGGCCACCCGTTCTTTCCGGTAAGAAAAAATATCGGTCAGCTGTTTCTTCACAAATAGCTGGTGGGCTATTTCTCCCAGGAAACCAAGCGGGAGCTGGTAATGCACAATATCGGTCATTAATACCCCGCCTTCTTTTTCTTCAAAATGATGCTGGTGATGCCATAACCGGTAAGGGCCGCGGCGTTGCTCATCTACAAAAAGCCTGCCCGGTACAATATGGGTGATCTCCGTCATCCAGAACAGTGGGAATTTCAGTATCGGGGACACCTTATACGTGATGATCATACCCGGGTAGATATCCTCTGCCAGCTCGCCGGAAGTAACGCGGAAATTCATGTATTCCGGAGTGATGGCCTGCAGGTTATTGGCCCCGGAAAAAAACTTCCAGAC